GCAAAGGAGGACTCGATCCACGACGCTATAGAGCGCAGTCGCGCCATGGCACATCGCAATTCAGCACGGCGCAGCACAGCACAGCCCTTGGCAGGGTACATCAAGATCGATACACTCAGCATTGCATTTGCCCGTCACCCAATCAGGTGTCTTTGAAAACGCTGCCATGTGTTACAGTTCTATATTCCTTTCCGGGTTCGTGGGTCGATCATGTTGTTTTTCAGGCCTGAATTTTCAGGACGTCTCAAGCGGGAGACTCCTCTGTGAGTGAATCGCGGGGAAATCTCAAGCGAGAGCCCATTCCCTATGTGGCCCGCACCTTACATTCGAATCCGAGGTGGGTCATCGGAATCCTGTGACTGTCGTCACGTTGGGGTTCTTGCGGCCTGAACATGGAGGGAGTCTCAAGCGGGAGCCCCCTCCCGGTCATCTTGGTAATCTGAGCGGGTCATCGGGATGCTCCTTTCGCCATATCTGAGATCTCCAGGCTTGAGTATGGATGAAGTCTCGTGCGGGTTCATCGTCTGTGAGCGAATCGCGCGCGAGGGGGCAGACTTGCATGGCGAGGGTTGGTTTCGGGGGTCTTTGTGGCGATGGTCTGTGGCTGCGCAGAGGCGCAAGTGGGCAGAAGGTTCGAGCGCGAGGCGGAGGAGGAGTGTGAGGACGTGGCGGGGGATGGGGAAGAGGAGGGGGAAGAGGAGAGTGGAGGAGGGAGAAAAGGAGGGGGAAAATGAGGGGGAAGAGGAGGGGGAGGGGAAGGGGGAGGGGGAAGTGGAGAGGGAAGAGGACGTGGTGGGGGAGGGGGAAGAGGAGGGGGAAGAGAAAGGGGAAGAGGAGGGGGAAGAGGACGTAGAGAGATTGATTCGGTTCGTCCGTTTCGCCTGCGACATCCTCACAGTACTCCGGTTCGTCGGGAAACCATATGCGGTTCGCAGAGGGGGCTCCATCGTGTCCTTCGGGCTTCACCCTGGCGGCGACCGGGAGTACGAGGAGTGCGCGCCAGGTCAATTCTTTCGCCCCCGCGACCTACCGCAGGAGATCTGGATGCACGCGCACGGTTTTAATGAGTCCCCTATATACGAGGAGGTCGCCGGGGTGCTGCTACAGGGCGCGAAGGCATTGACGACGACGGCGAGGCCAAGGCGCGGGCGAGGAGCTTGCTCATGGCCAGGCCCAACGAGCATGAGCTCTCGTGGCAGAGCTCGGAGCCGCACGCCGTGCACCACTCGAGGTTCACCTGACCTCCGCGCTGTCGCAGGGCCGGACGCTGCACAACGGCATCACCGTCGACCTTGCGCCAAGGATGCGGACGCTCATCACGCGGGCACTAGTGACGGGCAGTGGTGGCTGCACATCCACGTCATGTTCTCCGGCGGCACGAGCGAGCGGGACACGCTGGTCTTGCGGCCGCCCACGTGAGAGTTCTTGGAGTGGGGGCCGCCGGCGCCCCCGCGGAAGGCGCTCGGGCAGTTTGACAAGCAGGCGTGCGAGCTGCGGGGCTCAGGGGGAGCAGTTCGCGGCGCAGTTGGGTTTCGTGCTGCGTCCCGCCCCAGCGCCGCCGCGACTAGCTCGGTGCCTGCGGGGTTGTCCCAACGGCTCGCCCCCGCGCCCCAGCGGTTCGCGGTGCTGCCCGAACGGTCTGGCCCGCAGGGTTGCCACGACGGCTGCGCAATTTTGCCGTCGGAGAACGCGCCCCTGCCTGGCGCGGCGGCGAGGGCGCCAAGGAAAATCGGCACGCGCGCCCCTTCCGGAGGAAAAGAGAGGTGCATGAGGAGAGCAAACGGGATGGAGATGAGAGGGGGGGGGGGGGCAAGAGGAGAAGGCAGAGGAGGAGGAGGCGGAGAAAGACGAGGAAGAGGGGTCAAGGCGAGGCGGAGACAAACGAGGAGGAGGTGGAGGAGCACGAAAATGAGGAGGAGGATGGGGAGGGGGGGGGATAAGACATGTAATGGGTAGGGCGAGAAGGACGATCACGATGAGGAGGAGGAGGAGGAGGAGGAGGAGGAGGAGGAGGAGGCAGAATCGGGAGGAGGGTTCACGCCATTCGAAACGAAAAAGGCGATAGGGCAAACTACACAGTTTGTCGTGCGGGTTCCTACCCACGAACAGGATATTTGTCCCCAAATCCGTCTGTAGGAAGACAGGCCCGACGTAAACGCAGGGGTCGTTCGGGGATGATTCGAGCGAAAAGTGGGGCCACGCCACCATCGGGCGCCCCGTGGTTCCTCCTGCTGGTGGTCTATGGTGGTGGTGGTGTCGCTTCAAAAGCGGCACCTCCCCATGTTTCACCCGGATCCGATCATTGGCGTTGTGCTTAAGGCCCTAGGCGTTTGTTTAGCCGACAGCCGTGCCGGGCTCGATTTTGTTTTTGGGTGCGTTCGCTAAGCGGCTTCGTGTGTCAGGGTGATTACTATGAGAGTGGATCGTTTGTTCTCGAGTCTCCTCCTGCAGGGCCCGGGGCTGAGCGGAATTGAATTCCGATTCCGATCTGTATTTTCGATTTCGATGTTCGGCGCGATGTGTTCGATCCCGATGCTGGGCGGGACCCCGATTCCGTTCCCATCCGGCGCGCGTGTTGTTCCGATTCTCTTCGGCCCGACCTCGATGTTTGGCCGATCCGATAGCGAGTTTTCGGTCCGATTGAAGGGGGATTGTCGGACAGGGCCACGACAAGGATACATCAGTTCCACTGCGTTCCGGAACGCTTTCAAGACGTCCCGGGTCCCGCTGAGAAGGCCGCGGCGCCCGAAACATCGTCCAGAGCCACCAAGTTCCAGAGATGCACGATTTATCCTCACCAGATTTGGCGCCGCGTACTGAGGGGGCGGTACATGGGGGGTGAGCGAGGGTTGTTGGAAAGGGGCCTTTCGAGGCCTTCGGAAGGGCCCTTTCTATCCCCTGGAATGGCCCCTCTGGGGCCCGACAAAAATTGGAGGGTGAAAGAGGGGGTCTGCAACAGGGGGTCTTCAATGGGGGCTGAATGGCCCATGTATGCTCAATGTATCTCATGTATGTGTTCGGGAATGATTGGCAGCCAATGTCGGCTGTCATGGAGGGCCAGTCGCTCGTGCCCGCGCGTTGCCCCACACGCGCCGTCCAGCCATTATCATTCATGCGTGCGGGCGTTCTTGCATGCTGCGCGTGGGGCTGCGAAGTGGAGTGCAAGTACGTTTTGATAGTATCGCGCATGTTCCCAAACGACGAGTTATCGACGCCCAAGAGAGATTTGGAATGGACCATGCGATTCCCCCAAAATGTGAATTCACATTTTCTTTTTTTCCAAACGTGTGAATTCACATTTTCCTTTTTCCCACCATGTGAATTCACACTCTGGCCCCTTCACAAAGATTCCAACACAACAGTCCAAACTGTGAATTCACATTTTCCTTTTCCTTAAATGTGAATTCACATTTTCCTTTCCCCCAAGATGTGAATCAAAATTTTGCTTTGCCCGACAATGTGAATTCACATTTTGCCTTGGTTTCAAGATCCCCAGAACTGAGGCGCAGGGTTCCGCATGTCAGATTGGCTGGGCAGATTTTGACACTCACGTCAACGCTGTCGTTTATTGAATCGCTTCGCTCATTCCGCCGGCCCGTATTGTGCCATCGCGGGTTCTTGGGGGGTCTTGGGAGCACTTGGAAGCTTCGTGGGAGCTTCTTGGGAACTTTGGGAGGCCTCGTGGATGGCTCTGGGTGGGCCCTCTTGGTGGTCTCTTGGGGGGGTCTGCCTGGCCTCTTGGGGGCCTCCTGGGAGCTTCCTGGGGGTCTCTTGGGGGCCTCTTGGGGCTTTCTTGCGGCCTGTTGGGGGCCTCTTGGCGCTCTCTTGGGGGCTTCGTGGGGCTATTTGGGGGCTTGTAGGGGCATTTCGGGGGCGTGTTTGGGCGGGAGGCTCAAAATTTCCGTTCAGGTTGCCCCTGTGGACCTCAATCATGGGGCCGTCTTGGGGCCTCTTGGGCCGTCTTGAGGGTTTCTTGGGCCTTCTTGGAGCGCTCTTGGGCCGTCTTTGAGCGGTCTTGAGGGTCTCTCGGGCCGTCTTGGGGTGATCTTGGTGGCCTCTTGGACCGCCTTGAAAGGTGTGAAAGACGAAGAGGCGGATATGTTAAAAATGCACGTTTTCCCTAGGGAACGGGACGATTTTTGCTTGTGGGAGCCCTCTTGGGACGCCGCTTAGGGACCTCTTGGGGCTTCTTGAAGGCCTGTTGGGCCGTCTTGAGGCCATCGTAGGCGCTTGGGGGTGATATTTCGGCGTCTCCCGGCTCTCTTGGACCGTATGGAGGGCTTCTCGGGCCTCTCTTGGACCGATTCGGAGCCCTCCAGGGCTCCGAAAAAGAGTTTTTGAGGGTTTCTTGGGCCTTCGTGGAGCGCTCTTGGGCCGTCTTTGAGCGGTCTTGAGGGTCTCTCGGGCCGTCTTGGGGTGATCTTGGGGGCCTCTTGGACCGCCTTGAAAGGTGTGAAAGGCGAAGAGGCGGATATGTCAAAAATGCACGATTTCCTAAGGGAATGGGACGATTTTTGCTTGTGGGAGCCCTCTTGGGGCGCCGCTTAGGGACCTCTTGGGGCGTCTTGAAGGCCTGTTGGGCCGTCTTGAGGCCATCGCAGGCGTTTGGGAGTGATATCCGGGGTACTTTTCGTCCGGGGACCCCCAGGGCCCGCCCCGCGCGCGCGAACTAGAAATATTGTTGAGCAGTTAACGGAGATCTTAGCACGCCTCTGGCCCGTTGGGCTGGCGAATTTCAACCTTTTGTTTTTTTTCGCCCTCAGCGCACGTTGCCTTCGTCGCCTTTCCCTGGGCCCCCGGCCCCCTTGCTTCGTTTCCCCTCAAGTCTCGCGCATGGGTGCAGGCGGGGAGCTTCAATTGGCACCCCCGCCGAACACAGCAATCGAGGATGTGTCGCCCATTCATGGCCCATGAAGACACCATTGCCAGGACCCTGCGGCCGACCCCCGCTTTCACCCTCCCAAAAAAGCATCTATCCCCTTCCTTTGTTTCTCGCCCCCATGAATTCGCGGCCGACTCTATCGCCTTCTGATCGTATCTTCGTCCTGGTTTCGTCCAAGGACTGCTCGGCGGTCTTCGGAAGGCGCGCGGCCCTCAGCAGCCCGCGCGCGTGTGTCAGTGCCAGGCAACGCCGGGCTTCGGCGGCGGTCGCGCCCCGAGCTTCCACTTCGGCCAGGGTTCCGCCGCGTCGGAGGCGGCGCCGACCGGGCTGCCACCGCGGCCCCGCCCGTCGGGGGCGATATATCCAGGCTTCCCGCCTGGGGTCGGAGGATCGCGCCGCATCGCCGATGCACCGACGATGCGGCTCGATGCGGAGCACGAGTTTCTCCACGCCGGCGTCGCCGATGCGTCGCCGACGTCGGCGATGCACGCGCCGCCGATGCATTGGCGATGCGGCGCGATCCTCTGGCCCCATCTGCTCTCGGACCTACTCGGGGGCATCTAACACATGGGGGTGTAGCGAGAGCTGCAGAAAGGGGCCCTCTAGGGCCCCCAAGGGGGCCCTAAAGGACCCTACAAGGGGGCCTTCGAGGCCCGGAAAGAATAATCCGAGCTTCTTACTAAGCGTCGGGGAGGGCGCCACCCCCGCCGACAGCCCCACATCGACCCCCGTCGCGGGCAGCCACCGCGCGCCGAAGGCGCTCCGACCCCCGTCGCGGCGCGACGACGAGGCGAGGTTGACCCCCGTCGGGGGGGTATTCCCCCACGCTTACGAAGAAACCCAAAATATCTTTCTCCCCCCCCCCCCTAAGGCCCTCAAGGGGCCCTAAAGGGCCCTACAAGGGGGCCTTCGGGGCCCGGGAGGGTATCTGTTTCCCCCTTATGCATCGCCGCTGCGCCGCCGTCGTCAAAGGCCCCCCCTGGCCCAGGCAGGTTCGCGCCGCGAAAGGATCCAGGGAACTGACACAGTCACACGAACAGAAACTTCGGGGGTCCGCGCAGATTTCTCACCGCCCACCAAACCACCCCAACCCAACCCGACGGCCTTGATTTGCCCTCCATTTCCAGTGGGGGCGGGCGTCGGGGAATTTGGATTTTTTTGGGAAACCCGTACCCCCTCCAACCCGAAGTTCGGGTCTTCGGGTTGGGTTGTGGTGGTCTGGTAGGTAGTCATGTTTTTCGGATCGGCGCTACAGCCCCGCTTCTGGCGCGCTCCACGCGCCAGGGAGGGGGGTCCAGATCCGATCCTGGGAATCCGCGCGGGCTTTCGACACGTTGATCTGTCATTGCTCACCACGGGAGGTATGTGCCTGTTGGTGGCGGCCTCCCGAGGTGTTTGCCCGGCCCCAGGACTACTCAGAATGAGAAGCCAGCCCCAGGGAATGGGCTGGCAGGTTTCGTTGTGATCAGACCACATCACACCAGAGGATATATTAAGCAGGCAGTTTTCGTTGTGATCAGACCACTCAGACCACATCACACCAGAGGATATATTCACCAAGCATGGCCGCGAGGATTGCTTTGGGAAGAGAAAAAAGGAGCGCACCCCGAGAACGGCGGTATCTTTTGGTGTCCTAAAGGGGGGTATCGTGGCAAGCAGCTGGGTTCACCGATCGGGGGGATATGGGAAGGGGGATCACAAAGTCTGCCGCATGCAGTTTTTTTTGGCCCCGCCGCCGGACGCTTCCCTGTATACAATGGCGCCTCCAGCACCAGGAGCCGCTGGGAAAATCAGCTACGTGAGCCGATTTGCTAAGCCTTCTTCACTTCCCCCCCCTCGTCCCACCCAAGTTACTTTAAGGGTAGCTCTTTGGGAGATGTTATACTATCAGGAGTATAGCTCGCGCGCCGTTGCCCTTGGCTCAAAGGCACGCGCGCCCTATTTGCCCGGACACCGCGAGTGTTCGCTATGTGCTTGAAAGATCACTACATCGATATTATCCCATCTTATCCGTCCATTCCTCTTACTGAACCACCTCAGTACGATACCGGACGCTATTTGCCATCCGCTTCCCATGGAATCGGATGCTATTTGAGTTACCAGGCTCACTTTCGACTTGGTAGCGGAGCTGGCCGCACCCTCGTGTGGTCAGCTCTTGCTCTTCTCATCCTCATACTCTTCGGCACGATCCTCGTGACCACCTACCACCCTGCGCTACCACTCCCAATACGTTTACGAGGATCTATCCAAGAGCAAGAAGCAACACGAGAGGTACGACGTCTAGACAACAACATTGGTACCATATACGCTTCATCACTGCGCCGCGCTACTACCAACCGCTCGGCAACGAGCCAAAAGCGCAATACTTGAAGCATGGGCGGATATATCCGCCAGATAGAGCGCCTCGAAGACTCAACAAGGCGATACCCCAGCGCGGCAACGCGCCTAATAACCACCCCTATCTACACAGTCTTGGGCTGGTTATCTTCGCCATCATATGGTTCGCGCTGGGGGCAACAATCGGACACATGCGCCGCGGAGAAAACAGCACCGATGGGCAAACACATGGCCCACACTGGGACCCTCAAGGCAACGTACCTTTTCGTGAGTACGTTTATGAGGTCAACGCATGGCTCAACGTCACTAGCGGACGTATGACGCCACAGGCCCAAGCGGCCGCTATACAACGCGGCCTAGGTGGCCTAGCGAGGACACTCGCCATGAGGGTACCACCTGACATTATAAACTACGGTGCTGACATCGATGGGGTCCACACAGACCCAGTGACCTACAGCATGTTCCTCCTAAGCATGAAGTTCGAGCGCCTGGAAGATGAGCGCCAGCTCACTTCCGGCACGCAGCTCATCGACTTCCATGTGCCTCACGGAGAACGAATCGATGTCACTCTAACCCGATTCGAAATGGCCCGACTTGAGGCACAGTCGGTGGGACTCGACCTTCCCAATTTCCAGTTACTAACCACGATTCTGTTCCGCGCCTTAGGCGTCGGCAACCAGCGAGCCATGCAACTCCTACAGCCATTCAGTCATCAAATGCCCCGAACACAACAACAGTATGATGAGTTGCTGGAGAGGATGCGTTCGATAGGCCACCTATCAGAACGGTCTCCTGGTAATATAGGATCTGTGTTTGGAAGGGGAAGAGGATCTGGTAGTGGAAATTGCTACACTACCCTAACCACTGAAGCCCAGCCTGGAAACGGGCCCTCAAGCATATGGGCCGATGATCCCGGAGAATCTATTGCTTCATTAGCAGGGGATCGACCACAACCAAGCTGGGCAACCAGCCCTCCTTCCAGAGAACCTCAACCACACCGTTCTCTGTGGGGTGAATCAAACCCCCTTACCGACGGTGTGTCCACCTACTTGGGAGACGATTATTTCGACCCCGGCACCGACACTGATACTGCATCATCCGACGGTGTTGAAGCTTTAGATTGGTCAGATATTATGAATATGGAAACTGACAATCAGCGCGCTGAACACCTATTTTGGTTATTACAACCGGCTAAACGGAGGTGGAGGAGGTTCACACGAAAACCAGTGCGACGTGTTAGGAGGAGGATACGGAGGAGTTTCAAAGGAAAAGGTAAAGGCAAGCGGGGTCGGCGGAGGTTGAAAGGACGAGGCATCTCGGCATTCCTCCAGAGGCTCTCAGATGAACAGTATGATGAGATATTCATCGGGGGAAAGGGCCGCGGCAAAGGCCGTAGAGAGACCTCAGGAAAAGGCAAAGGTAGGCGGGGAAACCCGCGAGGTAGAGACGGCCAGGTTCTAAAGTGCCATGAGTGGGATAGTACCGACCATCTTGCGAGAGATTGTCCAGCGAAGGGAGATGGAAAGGGCAGATCGACCGAGGTCTATTTTGGCTCAAGTGAACCATTCATCGAATATCTGAGCCTCTAGGATTTTGAGGCCATGGAACAGATATTTTACATTTGGGGCAGTTGCATGGACAACGTCGACGAGCTCGAGGCGTATGGTCATGGATTGTACGCGTACTACCTCGAGTACGTCCGCAGGTTCGTTGTTGGCAACAACGAGCTCACTCCCGTGGATCACGGTACGCTGGGGAACCAGCCTTTGTCTTTCTTCGACTGGATGTTCGGGAACCCAGGCAACATCATGGCCTACGAAAGCAGTGACGAGGACATCACTGTTGAGGCCTCGCCTTCCGAGGTTGAACGCAACCTCCAACCTCCACCTGAACTCCCGCCTGGAAACAGGCCTCCACCTGAACTCCCGCCTGGAAACTTATAGAAATGGAGTCTCAAGCGTTCGTTCAAGCTTTCATTGCAGGTGCACCAGAGGTCCCATTTGTACCGTCTGGTTCGCTTGCTCCAGGCGAGTACGGACCACGCACACTACTGCAAACCCTCATGAGGATGCACGAGGTATTGACCATCGCATATCCCGAGAGTCAAGAAAGCATCGAAGCTGGCATCATGATGCTGCAGGACACTGACGCCTGCGATGACTCGGAGTTAGTGTTGGCAGCCTTGACCCTCATCGACAGCGCGCACCCTGAGGACGTGCAGAGGCATGTTGTACTCCCGAGGGAGATGGCGCGATGCCCATGAAAGGGCCATCGCCATGCGCAGTCAGGATCTTCCTCCGCCAGGATGGGGTCTCCAGGCGGCGGGACTATGGCCAAATAACACGGCCATGCGCAACATTGCTTGGCAGCCTGTGCTCGGCAACGAGCCTGAACCGACAACCGTGCCGCCTACCCCGGGACAGCCGAGCGACGCACAGATGCCGGCTATGCAGGGAAACTTGCCTGTCCCGGCTGCGCCAATGGCCATCATCATTGGTAGTTCTACAGCAGAAGAAGAGGGCGATGATTGCGGGCTAGACGAGGATGAAGCCACAATCCTCATGATGGAAGTTAAAGGTGAGGTAGAGGTGGACTTTGATCCTGACGAGCCTGAAGCACCATCGCCATCGGCACAAGCGCCATTTGCGCCGAGCTCCAGCCAGCAGGGAAACCTGCCTTTACTAGACGATCCACCTGGGATCGCACAGGAGCCTCCGCCGGCGCCTCCGCAGGCTTCTACTCAGGCTGCTTCGGCAGCCTCTTCTGATGAGAATGCTGGAAGGTCTCGCTCCCGTCCGCGCGTCAGAGGAGAGCCACATCCTCAGGCTCGGCTTCCCCGTGAGTGGAGGCAAGCTGGCCCAAAGGAACACGCTCTCAGGCGAGGAGGCGGACTACTGCCGCACAATGATCCAAGACGCCGTAAAGGGGAACACTCGGCCTTCGGCAAGGGCAACCCTGCCTATAGGGACGCTCAG